ACCCCAGAACGAAAGGCAGTACAGAAGATGAGGGAAAACCTAGGGCTGGATGAGAGATTTATGAACCTTGGGTGTAAGGTTGTGTATTTTTTTGTGAATCTAATATAAGCAGAGAAAGATGAGGCTGCAGTTCTTGACAACATTGGAATGTGGAACTCCCAGAAGAGGATACTCCCAAAAGTCCCCCCCCCCTCCCCTCCGCCTCTTCCCCAGCATCTTAATGGATGGCGAAGGTCTTATTTCGTACCGGCTAATGCCAAGGTAAAAAGATCATATTTTCTTCAAGGGCAGTGAAATCCCAAGTATAATAGTTGTTATGTTGGGACTCCATTTAAGGGAGCCAGACGTGAAGTAGGATGGATTTATTTGGATAGTTTTCTTCTGTTCTGATTTAGAAACGGATAGTTGGTTTGGATGAACAGAGTTAAGCAGCTGTGTGTCGTCGACATATGGCACAAGACGTCTGTGAAGGAGGCAAGACGGAAGGTTTAGTCGTAAAGATGCTGAAAAGGATATGTCTGACGAAGAATCACTGGCCAGCGAAAGGAAGAGTTTTCGCCTCTCACCACGTACCGTTGACCACCTTTTCTTCAGCTGATCGTTTGCTTCTTTTCTCTGCTCTGTTTGCTTTTTGTTGGAGACACCGAACTCTCGCCGAACGGCGTCCAGCGCGCATGCACGGCCCCCTCGCAACCACGCTATCTTCTCCCATTCGATGTTGCTTCGCCTGGTGCAATGGATTTTTGGTCTCTTGTGACGTCCGCGCTTGTTTAGGCCCGTTTGTCTTCTTTTTCGCGAATATCGAGTCACACAGGGGTCGTAACCGAAGAGTGAGGGCCGTGGAACGCGCCCGGGCAGTTAAGCTCGGCTATAGACGGATCTAGGAGTCAGACGACCGCAGTCCTGCTCTGACGCACATGTATGCTTGTGAGTAGCCCGACTCGAAGCCACGGCTTCGTTTTTGTTTTCTGTTTTTTGTTTGTTTTTTTTACTAAGCGACAGACCACTCGTTTCGTTGTCTCACTTGACCTCAGGCGTGACGGCATGAAGAGGCATTGGTCATGGCATGACCAAGGAACAATGGGAGCCCCGCGGGATGCCGGATTACGCACGATCGTAGCTAAGTATCCGACGGTGTGCAATGTCTTGGGAGAGAACAGGACACAGCCTGTTCTCTTCCGACATGGTATACGCTAGGTCGTACGAGCTCTTGACGGCGGGATGTTCGTGACGGACAGAGGTCCAGCCATCGACGCTTATTGGTAGGGCGACAAGGGTCGCCGGACAGGCCGGTCAGACCGAGTCTCCAGAGCGCGCCGGTCGTGTACACCGTAAGGCGTGAACGCAGGTTACTCCGGGCGCCTGTCATCTGCCAAGTGCTCCATCGTCCCATCGGGCGCGCTGTCTCCTTCCATGCCTGTGAGTGACGCGCCATGGGGCGGTGCCTTGCAAAGCTCTTTTCGGCAGGAGGGAGGCGAGGGCGCAGAAGCGCCGGTGGCGACGTCTCCGTGCTGGACGAGGCGCCGCCTGAGGCGCGTGCGCGGGGGCGGGAAGCTGCGAGCGGTGGGCGTGGCCGAAGGAATGGTGGGCTGCCCATCGTGGGCGAAACGCGGGCAGCGTCGTCCGAACAGCGAGTCATCACCCTGGGGGTCAGGCGAGGGAACGAGACACAATCTACCACTCCCAGTCCCCTCTGAAAAGAAAACTGTTTGTCTATAGGTTTATTATGGTAAGTATGTCTTTATCTGGTAAATTTATTAGTTTACTCTCAACCATCATGAAATGTCTGATGGCCAGCTAAAGATACTTGACGTTGTTGCAATGAGCTCCCGAAGCGAACATTTCTGATGCTTATGCCGCACTTTTATTTAATCTTCCTTGTTTTTGTGGTTTATGGCATTTTAAGTCATGTTGCAATGATTTCTGATAAAGATGGTCCGAGGTGACAATTTAGGCGGCTCCTGATGTCGCCAGTGACAGAAAAGGCGCTTTTTCACCCGAGTCATGCCATGAATTCGCCATGCGGCGATCAACGCCAATAACAATAAAAATTGGAGCGTTCATATCTGGCGTTCTCGTCCAGATATACCGGCTGTCAATTGACTCTGAATCAATTTTGTGCGAGGTAAGATGACGTAATGAAACAATGACGTATTAAGCACCATATGTACTAAACAGGGCAATTGTTTTGCTAGAGCAAATTTTTCTACTCATATGTATACCAATAGTTATAAGTGGACCTATTTCATAATATATCATGCTTGCTTCAATATCTGTAAATGAGGAGAATTCTGTTAAAATTGCATGCGACGTCTGCTGCCGGGCTTCAACAGCCGTCATTCATTCCTATATTCCTTCATTCATTTATTCGTTGCGGCGGGAAACATGAGGCATAGTGAACATCAAATGCATTATTCGAACACCTTGCTTTTGAAGAATACCACAGAAACAAAACATGTCGTGTGGATAGTAATTTACAATGGGTGCGACAATGGCCATATAAATGCCGCAATTTTTCAGCAAGGCTCACTGCTACGGCAAAACAGCAGTCACATCGACTGAGCGGATGTGTTTTGTGGCCATTAAAGAGCCTGAAAATGGAAATATCATACAACGTAGGACAAAAACATTGCAATAGCACTAACATGTAGCACGGGCGATATTAGGCAGATCTTGTATATGCAGTGATAAAAGTGCGGTTTTCTCGCACTTTTGGAATGCGCAGTAGTGCTCCAACCGTGGCAGACGGTTGGAGCACTACTGTCCAACCGTGGAAAGCAATATTCAAAAGCTGGATGGTTGTTCATTTTGTCTTAGTAAGCAGATTATAGGGTTCATTACAGACGAAGGCCTGAAATGAAGTTTACGGATCATTATTTGTGCCGCTTTGCTGCGCCGCATCAGCTTCGGCGCGTGCGTAAGTTGCGCGAAACCGACAAGTGCTATGGCAACGCTTATGTCAGGCTCGAATTAATGCATAGTTAAATGGGGTTCTTCCGACCTGTGAAACAACCGCCTCTCAGCACACAAAGGCGTTTAAAGAGGGTGCGGGAGAGGTGGGCACCACCGATTTTCGTGAAAGTTGTAAGCGAGTCAACCAATGATGCTGCACAAAAAACTGACTTACAGACTCATTTTTCATGACCTACCTGCGTCACCACCTGTCAGCACATCACACCTGGTTCGCGTCAGGCATCCCGACCGGCAACCAGAAGTCATGTCGGGCAGGATATCCCATGAATGATATTGAATGAATTTCGAAATCATGCGAACGCATATCGTCCACGCATAGAAGCTCTGTTGCTTAGCAAAGCAAACAGGCAAGCAGCCGTTCTTTATGCTTTCTCGTGTTACTCACGGCCGTATGTATTCTGCACTGCTCAAAAACAAATCAAAAGAGTTCCAAAGGAGTGTTCATTGTTTTTAGTTTAGCTTGGTTTAGAACCAGTTGCTTTCATTGGCATGTTTAACCTGGGTAAATTCACTTGGCTTAAGTATCGATACATGTCTGGTGGCATGCAATGATGCAATCCTTTGCAATGCCAGTGATGTCACATTGTTGCAAACCACATATTGTAGCCTGTGGTGCTTCCAAGCTCTACATTGCTGACATCACCGATTTCACACAATTGTTTTGCAACTGCTGACTTCACAGTCGTATTGCAGTTTTCTGTGAATGCTATGTGTAATTCTGGCCTCTTCTTCCTGTCGGCTTTTTTGCTTTCAATAGAACTGAATCTTTTCCAGCAGCGTCGACCAGCAAGCCCGACAAAAGCACCCTAATATGAGGATAACACTGGTTGGCTATACGAACGGTGCGGCGGTTGTCATGACGACGGCGGTCGCAACGGCAGGGAAAAGGCATAGTGCTCTTAAATAGCGTTGACAGCGCAACTTGGACTAATGCGTCATTACAATGCTGCAGTGGTATTATTATCCAGTTCTATTGGTAGACGTACTCAAGGCTACTAGAGAAGGCTACGCAGACGTGACGTCACCATTGGACTAAAATTTGGCAGCCCGGAGAATGGTTTTTGGTTGGTACTACGAAAAGGTTGATGGAAGCTAGTTACGTTATTAAAAACGGAGAGCTCGCCATTGAACTGGGTGGCAACCCTGTTGTACATATTTATTCCAATTTTATGTAAAAAGTATTGTAATCTTGCATTTCAAACTTTCTTAAGACGAATCAATACTAGGATGATTTAAAAAATGGATCCCGCTAAACCACGTTTTCTAGTTCCAGCACCCGCGCCATATTTGTCGATACCAACGCGCGTAACTATCTATGTGGACTGCGTTTTTGTAAAAGAAACATTTATACGTACATAAATAAATATTATATGCAATGTTACATTACATTGGTTGATGAGCAATAATTGCGCATATATCTTCGCACTGCAGAACCTATATGGAGTGAAATGTGAAAATAAGATAATGTGAGGAGGCAGGTGCCAATAATCCTGAGGCTTCATTAAAGTACGTTTTCGAAATATGCCCCAAAAGGTGGGACACTCCCATCAAGCCCAGAGGCCCGCAAGCTGCAGTTAAAACGAGGTCAAAAGTGGTATGTTTGGTGCCACTTTTTTCCGCGCTTTTCCGGCCTTTAAGAATAGATGTGGCATTTCTAGCTGCCAACAGTTGACTGCAGAATCTGCGCCGAATTCTGCAGCCGGCCGGCACGGTTTGCACGGGCCTTTTGTCAAACCGGACCGAAGTGAGCATGTCAGTTGTGAGTGGTTTCCAAATTGGGCGAGATTTGTGCCTGTCGCTCCACACCATATGTACGCATCTCAAGCGCCGTTTGAGAGCCGCATGCGACTTGCACTCGACCTCCGTGTACGACCTGACACAAACATTTCAATTGCTACGATCCTGTTATGCATGACTTTCCCCGACGTTTTCAGATGCTTTTACTTCACATACGCGTGCGACTGAACGTCTGCTGCCCCGTAAGGCCTGGCTATTGCGCATTTTGCGAGGTTTGGAGAGAGCCAAGCCATCCTGCAATGAATCGCACAGCCCGTTATGCATGTTTAGGCCTTGTTTTTTTTTTGTGCAGCGACCGCAACGTTATGCCGTGGTAATTATTTCATGCTACGTAGAACTTTCGCTGTGCTCCGACTGCCGTCTGTACTATGTGATACAAGACGTTTTGAAATGCGCTGGCAAGTTACGTTGCATTGATTAGGTGAGATATTTGAGACAACAGAAAATATGTCATCACATCGGAGCATATGTGTATTTGCATGAGATTTTGCAGCATTTAAAAAATCCTACAACATGTCGCGGAGAGTGCCCTTTTGGGAACGGCAATTCTTAATAGCGTTGTTTCCCTGCTACATCATGGCGAGTACTACCCACAGGTGTCTACCATCCACTTGCAGGATTAGCTTACGGCAATGAATCACGTTACGTTGTTGGTAGGCGAGCGGATCTTCCTTGACAGTCCCGGACTTGACAGTCCCGGCTTGACGGTAGCGGATATATGACAAAACCTCGCCGGATTTTGTTGCAGCGAGGATATTCCCAGTCCAAACAACAGCGTTAAAAAGCATGCACGATGCCATGTCTCCCACGCAGTTTCCCATCCCACCTTCCCCATAACCTTGTCATAAGCGAGTTTGTGCCTACTGTACGTGTTGTTCCTCTAGAAATATATGGCATCACACCGCCTGCTAAGCAGGCTTAATGATCACGCTCAACACCAACCACAGGAACAGATGTGACAGTTTTGCAGACTTACGCCCCAAACCGGGTTATAAACCAGTTTCTACCGACTATCAAAGGAAACTGACGAAAGAAGATGGCTTAGGACAGGCATAATAATTCGCGACGGCGTGAATGGTTGCCTATCGCATTTGTGCGCATGAGTTTAGGACTCAGGCTGGGAATTGCTCTCATGCGTATAGCTGTCAGTCGTGAAGGATGCTCAAAGTCTGGCGAGAACATTGCATACCACAGGCGCATACGCTATGATTTCGGGTTTCTGAGAGACATGACGTCTCTCACTCTTCTCATACACGTTCTATTATCGCAGAAATATGAACGTTAGCTTCCGTTACGGGGAAATTCTTTCCCTGTACATCCAACCGCCACCTGGCTATATGGTAATGATACTTGCGTCATTGCGGGCAGATTCAAAATAATTTTGACCATTGATGAGCTGCCGGAGAAGAATGCGACTTTTCATTCCGATGTATGAACGCGAGACCTCGATGTCGCGGAGCCTGGTGGTGACTTAGTGACATTAAGTGGCACCTCGGATACCTTGTCAGCTCTCTGAAACAAGTGCTGAATCTGTTCCAGCGAGAGACCCTTTGTTTCCTTGAGACAAAATGTGGCAAATAACACCTGGCACAAGCTGACCAACATGTGAATGATGAAGCCTCCACCAAGACCGACCCCTTGTTCAATGAATGGGTACATTTTCATCAGGACGAATGCACACATACTGAGCACCGCAAGCACGATGTTTGCGCCCCAGGCGCGCGTCTTGTTGGGCAGCAGCTCAGTGGCGTAGATGGATGCGACGTTGCCCAGCATGCCAACAAAGGCCACCTGCGTCAGGCCGGCGCCCGCCAGCACAATCCAGCCGAGGCGCTCCTGGGACTCGGCGGCGAGGAAGAAGTACGCGGCGATCGTGGCACAGCCGATGGCGGAGAGCGCGCCGCCCAGACGCAGCACCGGCAGCCGGCCGTATCGCTCAATAATAATGCCGCCGGGGACGGAGACGAGCGCGGCGAGCGCGGCCGGCAGCGTGGCTCGCTGGTACTCGCTTAGCGGTAGATGCACCGGTGCCAGCACGAAGGCGGTGATGAGCACCAGTGTGCAGCCGCCGCACCAAGCATACAACACCATCTGGACGGATGCCAGTAGCAGCGGGCGCCACGTGCCCTGTTGACACAGCAGCGTCCACACAGGCAGTGCGGCACCGTCCACATGCGCGTGCTGCAGCGAGTCGTGGATGCTTCGTATCTCAGAGGAAACGTCTTCCTGCACACCACGGAAAAACTGGACAGAACGCACGGCTTCCTCCTCCGAGTGGCCTCGCGAGAGCAACCACTTGGCCGAGTTGGGCAGGAAAACGAGACCAAAGAGACAAAGTGCGGCAGGCACCACGCCTACCACGATGAACAGCACCTGCCAGTGCAGCAACGGCGCCACGGCCAGCGCCAGCACCTGGCCCAGGTACACCATGAAGTTCAACAGGGCTGCGAAGAGAGCACGGCGCGTGGGTGGTACAATCTCGGACACATAACTACGCACGCCGCCCTGGGACATGGCGATCGCCGCAAACATGACCACCCGGCCGCTCAACGTCCAGCCGAAGTGGCCGCCGAGGCCGACCGCCAGCGAGCCGAGCGCGTACAGCGGCATGGTGAGCAGCAGCAGGCGCCGTGCGCCCAACACAGGCGCCACCAGTGTGCCCAGCAGGCCGCCCAGCATGGCGCCCAGCGAGGTGGCGGCGATCGACCAGTTGAGCTGGTCGGCGCTGAGGAAGCTGTCGGGCTCGTCCGGCACTTGGATGAGGGTGATGCTATTCATGCCGAAGTTCAGGCCCATGGCCAGCAGCAGCTGACCGACCACCACCAAGGCCAACACCTGCAAAGAAGAATAGCTGATATGGTGGCGGGTCTTTCAATGGGCGTGGCCTGTTTGTTGATATTTGAAACTTTTTAAAATACTGCAGTCTTGTTTTATGCAAGTTGTATTTTATTTTCAATTGTGCCTGTACTATAAACGTGATTACGATCATCCACGATGTGTTATTTACTTCTTGTTCGAGTGTGAACTTAATGGCGCCTGAACAATAATGAACAATTCACAGGGAATGAAGGAGACAATTTGAGGCACGGAACTCTTTTGTATCGCCCTTTTTGTCCTCTTAAACCCTCGTTGAGCCGTTTCCTTGGTTCATGGCGGTGCTCAATAATAATAAATCTAAGCTTTTCGAGTGCCTATCTCACCAGGCTACCTGACAAGGCCATCCTAATGCTGTCATACAGAGCTTTGGGACAGACCTGACGCAGCTAATGCAGAAGTGTTTGATGGCGAAATTTTGCCCTCTGGAGATGTTTATCACGCACATCTCTTGCTTGTTTCGCATTTTAATCTCGTACGTTGGTCGGCATGATTTATATTTATATTTGGGGGGTGAGTGGGATGACTCTGTCTGCCAGCAGACCACGCAAAATGTATTGACTTTCTGTCTTGGGAAGCCGGAAGAAGCCAGTAAGCCTCCTGTGAACTAAGTAATTGCTTACCTTACCTGCTTTCAACACATGATTGGTAACCAGAATTAGCCATTTTCTGTTTCAATTATTTGAGTTTTTTCGTAAGTCAAATTATGATGCCACAAGGCATGCAATGGGCTTATTTTGTTCCATATTCTTGATTATTTGCCCCAAATTTCTTGAAATGGTCCCTCATGGCTGCTTTAAGCAAATGTTTTCTATAGTTGTCATGGTTTACTGACTGGCAAATGGCTGTACTATATATGTGCACTATATTTTTAACACAGAGATACTCTAAGCTGCATGGCAATTATAATATGAGTTAAATAATAGTATATAACAAAAATTCAGGCCGTCCTATTTAAAACGTGAAGCCTACATCCCAAACTTTGTCATTAAATATGAATAAACAAGCCTAAGTAGATTTATTTGCTGCAGCTGAAAAGCCAAGCAGCAATACTGGCATGGCCATCTAAAGGATATGTTACTTTTGGAGAAGAGAGATTGTTTTGTGGAGCATACCCATTATTGCCCTTGACATAAGTTAACCATGGCAATCAAAATAAATTGTTCAAAGTGATTTCCAGTGTTTGATTTGTGCGTTGTCAACTTTGTCTGACGTCAACAAGCATACACAAATGAAATGAATAAAAATGCAAGTTGAAACCAGCCAAAAATTGGCTACATTGTGTTTTTTTCACAAGTGCTGCTGTGAACAGGTAGGTGAGTTGAGATGATGTACAACATAAGCGCTACTTAAAGTTAGGTTAAGTTGGTGAAGTGCATGGCAAGTGGCAATAGGAATTGTGCAAGAATCGGTAACTCACAACTGCTGTTATGGTACAAGCAGGTTAGACATGACGAGATGAAGTAAGGCCTCTTTACGTTAGGGCATAGTTGCGCTACTTTCATGGAATAAGAATTGGTATTTTGTAAGAAACGGTGATAAAATGTTTGTTTTCCCTGACCCCATCTTGACAAAAGCCAGAGGTATGCTTATTGTGTTTAACTTGGTGATGGGCTGATGTGTAGGAGTCCAAGGTTTTTTGTTTGAGTCTTTATGCTTATTGAACTCTCCGTTACTTTGTTATTGAATTCCTTTGCTTTGTTTTGTGTTAAACTGCTGTGGGAGAGAAGTGCAAAGTGCAGCATCAAATTATTGGTGCTAATAATTATTTATGCTCATTACACTGTCATGAAATCACTATGCTTTCACGTATTCTGTTTCACTTTAACGGCTTAAGATGTTAAAAAACAAAAAACAAATTGTCAGGTTTATGATATTACGCCCATGCCAACGTGAAACAGGTGTCTTTGTTTGCTGAAGCATCAGTCACGAGCTCAGAAGTTACATCTTTTGTGAATTGATTTTTTTACTCCTGCACGGTCTTTTTGCGATGGAATTTTTCACTCCCACCCTAGTTCAAAAGCACTTCTAGCTCCCTGCTATAAACGTGATTACGATCATCCACGATGTGTTATTTACTTCTTGTTCGAGTATGAACTTAACAGCGCGTTAGAATGCATTCACGTGTTCTGTTAGTTTTCGATTTGTACACTTACTCAGTTGCTCAATTGTCTTTGATCACCATGTTCTTGTACAAGTTGATCAAAACCGCTCTGTTCTGTACAAGAACCTGTTCTTGTACTGCGCAACTGATGCATCGAAAAAGTATTTTTTCATATTCAAATGGCGCTTTTCACTTCCGTTAAAAAATACTGCAGAAATGTACCGCCCGTAAAGCTGTTTTATTTCATCGTATCTGACAGCACGCAATAACCTGTATGTGTAATCTGTCCACGTTCTGATCAATATTCCACGAAAGGATGCAGCATGCATTGCGGCGCATCCCAATGAAACTGCTAAACTTCGTCCCAAACAACAAAAGTGTGGATTTCTGAAATGCCTAGAAACATAAAAGCTTCGTCCTCGGGCAGTGTTTTTAAACGTCATCGGAAAATTCACCCTGGTGCTGTGCCGCTAAGTGAGGTCTGGTAGCTGCAACAATTTGGTCAAAAACTCGTCCATTGGCAGAACAAGTTCAGTTTAAGTACAGCGTACTGTGCTCACCCACCACCTAAATATAATTTCACTTGACCGATTCCAAATTGTCCCTTGCTTGCGCATTGATAGCTTTAATAAAAAATGCTCGCACACCATCCTGAGCGCGGACAATTTTCACACTCCCCAATCATGAAGGATTCCTTTTCAACGTCCCTCACAGCAGGACTCAGAAGGTCCTGTTAAGTGACATCTCGCTAGCCAAGAGATCCAGTGATGAGATTCGCATTCTGGTGATACCAGCTCCGCCAACTCTGCACACTCGCACTTTTGACTTGCTGAAGTCTATAATTCCGATTTCGATATGTCACTAGCGACTTTAGCGCTGATTACGTCCTCTTTGACCCAATCTAATCAAAATCCGAACGATGAGGGCGTGAGACAGAACCATCATGAGTTTTAATCATGCGTCCAATCGCCCTCTAGTTACCTGTTTAAGAGTCCCCCTCATTACGGAGCTGAACTGGCGACCGTCTTCGTTTCGACACGCCGTCGCTACGCCCACTAACTGACATCTTCAGACACCCACTAATCTGCAGTTTGTCCCAGTGAGATGTCAGACACGGTACCAACAACCGGTTACCAACTGGCAAAATTTATCCCAAGATTTAAAGCGGAGGCTATACGTCAGGCAGCAGCGCTCGAAGCTCCTGAGGGTGGCGCCGGCTGCAGACGCTTCGATGGCAAATTTCAGGCTGCCTCTCCGCCAATCACAAGCCACCAACCGCACGCGTTCTCCGCCAATCAACAGCCAGAATTAGTACAGGGCTCGGTGCAACTCGCATAAGCCAATAACTAGCGGCCTTCCCAAGCTCTCCGCAAACCACATGCCGAAATTTGAACCGCCGGTGAACCGGCGCCTCCAATCCGCAGTGGGCATCGCTGGCATAGTTTTTCTCTGGATAGTTATCTCGACACACGGCGCAAGGGTGCGTTGCACCGCGCGATGTTGCTGGGTTCGTAGCGGGTGGGTGGCGGGTTTGATTCCGGGGCGGCGGTCGATTTTAGTTTGGGCCAACTTTGCACGCTTGCGTCAGCGTTTCTGGAGCAGTTCATAGGCATGTAAGTAAAGTTATAACCATGCTACGCAAAGTTCAGCCGTTATCAATTTCATTATACGGTCAGGTGCCGGTCATGATGAAAACCCACGCGGGCATTCGGCCTTCCCGTCAATATTGCCGGCTCTGGACATACGCTCCTTGTACTTAGACGGGGCCGAAGCTTAGGCGGTATCTACGAGTTCTCCGGTTGTGATGTGAACCACGTCGCCTAGAAGAGCCTACCTCGAAACAAAAATAATCGGATTTCAACCACTTTGTTTCGGGTGGCTTGGTGTTCTTCGTTTTAGTCGTATGTGTCGCAAGGTGCAACTGAAACAGAAAACGCAATTCTACCGGATAGTGCATGCCACATTTCTGCACCAATACAAGTTGGTCAGCGGCATTGCAATTTCCGCTTGGCCCTTAAATTGTTGGCACGTGGCCACTGTGCCCCCCCCCCCCCCCTCCCCCGCCCTACCTCCACCACTGATTGAGTCAGGGGCCGATCCAGAGAGGGCGGTCACGGGGTTCATGGCCCCCCTTGGGCCCCAAGTGGCCCATATGCTCCGAAGGGGCCCATAGGTGACCGGACAGATGTAGTTTTTTAAACACAAAACAACAACATTTCTTTGGATCTCCAGGCCACCGAGAACAGTTGCAAACGAAACTGAATGGCCTTTGAGAAAAGATAAAAAGTATTCCATAATGGAAAAAGTTGTTGATTGGAAATTATTAGCTTTATCACGCTGTCCAGGGCCATATCTTGTTTCCGGGGACCTATATGCCCATTTGCAAGGTCATTTCGATCGTTAAGGAGCCTTCCACGTTAGCCCTGACTGCTTTGCGTTTGCTCGGAGGGCCTTGCACTGTTTCTGTGCTCTTCCTGCCAGCGTGCCGGGGCGCTCTTGTCAATCAGAGGCCTTCCACGGATTCTTTCCAGTCGCCAAAAATGCTCTGTGGGCTGTGACACAGGACCCCCGTGTTAACTTGCCCGGGTATTCTAGGTGGCTCGGGGGCCCTTTACGTTGGTTTCGGTTCACCTACCGACACACTTGCGATATGCTCATGGGCCCTCTGCATTGGTCTAGGGCGCTTCCAATTTTGTGTCACTTGCTTAGAGCCCTACACTCTTGTCGGGGGCTCATCTGTTGACCTGCTCATGCACAATCTGTCGGTCGGGACCCTTGAAACTGGGTACAGGGTGCTTTCCATTGGATTGGAGGGCCCTGCACACTTGTCGGCGCCTCATATGTTAACCTGCTCCGG